TCTGTGTCTTGGCAAGTTTCTTTAGATAAATTTCAGCCTGCCCTTTTGCTAGGGCTAATTGGATCGAGACTGAAAGCAAGATCATGTACACCTGGGAAAGAGGGCAGGAATGGCCTTGAAATGCCATTATAATCCGGGGGGAAAGGAGGAGGAAAGAATAGGAACTTTGGGCAGCCGCGGTGGGGAAGACTGCCAGCTACGCGGGGCGCTTCCCTGTTGATTTGGAATACCAAGCTATGAGCGAGCCTGTGTCTCCAGTCCGCGTGGAAGTTTTGACTCAGCTTCAAGCCCATGGCATTGTATCGGAATACATCACCTACCCTCGTGTAACCTTCTCGTCTGCCTCTCGCCTCTGTGTCCGGCACAGCCCTCCTGGGGACTCCTCCCGGCAATCGCTGACGCTCTTGGATCCCCGTGCATCTCCCAAGGAGGATCAGGCTCCGCCAAACTGGACTTTGCATCATGTGCAAGGGGCTCTGGCTAATCCTAGCCATCCACTGCTTGCTGTCAGAGCGGGGCAGCTGGCCCAGGTCTACGACGTGGACCAGCGTTCCTTAAGGTACCAGTGGGAATTTGCTCATCCTATAGAGTACTGGGTGTGGTTGAACGCTGACATTCTGGCTGTGGTGACAGAGGAGGATGTCTTCCACTGGACTGTAAAACGTTCCGGACCAAGTTGGCAGTTTAGCCGACATGAACGTCTCTGTGGCATGGAGGTGGTAGGATATCAACGGGATGCCAGTCATATGTGGATGGCTCTCTCGGCTCTAGGACTTGAGCAGAGCCAAGTTGTGGGCCTCACCCAGCTGTATTGGCGAGGGGGCCCACTGTCTCAGGTCATAGAAGCCCAAGCAGTAGCCTTGCCTCAGCACAGATTTTCCAGGAATCCAAAACCTTCAACATCCCTCTTAGCTGCTGTGCGGAGAGGCAAGGAACAGGCTGGACAGTTTCATGTGGTAGAGCTAGGCCCACATCAGCCAGGGAACGCCGCCTTGCTTAGTGCCCGCGACACCTTGCCTTTCAAGGGGACTCAGCTAGGGGACTTCCCCAGTGCAGTACAGTTCCTGCCCCACTTGGGTGTGGTGGTCATTCTTACCAAGCATGCTTTCCTCTTCCTTGCTGACGTGGAGACGGCACAAACCATCCATCGCATCCACCTGGTCTTAGATATCCTTTTCGCTACTGTACTTGATGACGAGAGGCCCCACAGCCTGCTGGGAGTTTGCCGTAGTGGCAAGGTGCTGTCTATCTCTATCTGTCCATACGCTCTGTGTCAATATATCTCCCACCATCCTACCAGCCTCTGCCTTTCCCAGCGGGTGCTACAACTGGTGGGCCAGATTCCTGCTCCACGGAAAGCCATTTCTGTGGAGTGACTTCTCCTCACCCAAAATACTGAGATGGAACGCTTGCAAGTGCCTCAAAACTGTTTTCATTCCTAGGTGGATCTTATGGGGGCTTTGGTAAAGGCAAATTGAAAGCATAGGAACAGGGTGATGTCCATAGCAGTAATGTGGATGCCTGCTGAGCTGCTATGAAAGCAGGGAAGAAAGAATTGATAATTTTTGTGGGGAAAGATGACTCTTAGAACTATGAACGTGAATGTGATGTTTTGGGTATATTGGAGATTTTTTTATGAGGAGCAAAGAGGGTGTTATTTATGCTGCAGGGGGCATTGGCATTGACTATATATGTGTCTGGTGGTGGTCTCTGCCTGCTATATTGTCTGGCTTGCTTCCCTTTTGAAAGAGGTGCTGATCTTGTGGCAGCTGTGTGCCTTGTCTCCAAGGAACACTGGGTCATTGGTGCAGCGGAGGCAAGAGCTTCTATCCACAGCTCTGCCTTTCCCACCTTCTAGGTCATGACCTGCTGACTTACCATTGCTTTGGAAAAAAATAAAAATAAAAGGAAGCTGAGTGGCTTATTTACATACCTACTAGTCATTCACACAGGGAGCCAGAATGACAAAATTGCCAGTGTTTCCACAACAAGGGTGCCATTTTAAATTAATATCTGTCTGGTGTGAGCAAGTTTTTGGGGGGTTTTCCCGAGACGTGAAAATACTCAGGACTTTGTGTGTACGTATGTATAAATATAGTGGGTTGTTGTTGTCTTTTATTTTCTGGCAATATTTGGTCAAAGGGCAGTTCAGCATATGAATAAAATACACCTCCACCCAAAAAAAAAAAAAAAAAGATAAATTTCAGCCTTACCTGACTAAAATGGCTGTATTGATCACAAACTTAATAGCAGCAGAGTCCGCAACAAAATGTTGCAGCATAGAGTGCAACATCTCCAAACTGTGTTCGTGATTCCAGCCACTCCATTCCTTACCCCAACCCCTGATTTCTGCCTTCCCTCTGCTCTCCAAAGTCAATCAGTATTCCATGGGGAGGGGATATTGTTCCAAGCCCCACATATGGAGGGGAACACATCAATATTGACATTCAACATTGATAGAGTCATACTGCACTGCTGCTAACATTTTCCACTCCAGAATCCCACTAATTTGAGTTGCAGAAATCTAGTGGGGAAAATCACAAAAACACAACCACAGTGCTCGGCTCACAAATGTTTCCCATGCATTAGGTGCCTCTTGCCAGAAATTTTAGCTCAAGGGTGTCTGTGGACAAGCAACTGAGCAGGTCTGCTTGTTTTGGGATACAGAACTGTAACGGAGATGGGAGCTTAGGTTGCTCTTCCTCATAGAGTTGAAGAGCTATCTTTGAATTAGACCTGCCCTGTTTTGTAGAAATTCCTTTTCTTGTGCTATCACTGACAGATAGCATAGTGTCTTCACAATGTTTTTGGAAATCGAGTCCTCCCTTAAAGAGGGCACGTATTACGGTGAGACTTAGAAATCAACACCCTGTGTTGTGGGTGGGTACGATTGGTCAGCCACAACACCTGATTGGTAGGTCCCTCGTAGCTGGGTGCAGTCTGGCCAATGGGATGCAGTCCAAATGGTTCAAGGGACCTATTTATACCCATGCACATGACCCAGAGCTTCCTCTTTCGGCGTGTGCATTTGGAACACCCGCCCACCTTTCCCTATTTTTAGGGCTTTGCACTTGACCTTGCTATGCCATCATGTGTTGTCTGTCGTTGGGATGGGCATGGCAGGAATTTTTCCCACTTGGCTGATTGGCTGTTGCCATTTAGGTTTCGCCTGCTGCGTAGCAAATCGTCACAACTTGTAAGGTTGTGGATAGGCCCTGGTTCAGGTGATAGGGATGGGAGAATGCTCTGGCCATTCCTATGTGAAGGGTATTCCGTTAAAGGAATCCAGGGACTCAATGGTTTGGTCAACCCCTGAGAGGGGGTTGTGCCCATGCCTGAGTCCAGGGAGACATTTGGGTGGTGGAGTTAGCCCGTTCCTGGCTTTCCACTCATCCGGGTGTTCACCCTTGGCTGACCTATGCTGGAACCCTGAGTCAGCGCTACCTGCTTGGCAGGGAGCTAGTCGAACTGGAGCCTATGCAACCAATCACTTTCTGCAATCAATAAAGTCGTGGCCTAAATTCTGCCAAAAACCAAACCAAAATTTGAGACAAGTGTGAATTTATTTAGCGGGGAGGTTTCTGGGTCTGAACATGCAAAGAGATCCCAGTACAGAGGGATGGAGTCAGGGCTGGATTTAGGTTTGATGAGTCCCTAAACTACTGAAGGTAATAGGGCCCTTTATTTATGTCCAGCTGTCCTTTGTCCACAACAAATTGTCGTTTTTTGTGTTGAATATATGCTATATGGTAATTTATGGACCTAATAGGTATCTAAAGCCATTTGCACATAACAAAAAATGTATTTTATCAAAGTAATTGTTGAACTGAAATACAATAAGCAGTATCCAGGTTTTTTTCCTTTAATGTTTTGGGGGGCCCCCAAGAGAATGGGGCCCTAAGTTATAGCTTGTTTACCTTATATGTAAATACGGCACTGGATGGAGTGGATCTGAGACTACTGCACAGTCTTTTGAAGGGAATTTACAATTAGGGGCCAGTTGAAACTTTTCCAAAGTTTACTTTTTTGTATAAGTAAATATTTATATACAGTGGTACCTCGGGTTATGAACTTAATTAGTTCAAGAGGTCCGTTCTTAACCCGAAACAGTTCTTAACCTGAGGCGCACTTTCACTAATGGGGCCTCCTACTGCCACCATGCTGCTGGCATGTGACTTCCACTCGTATCCTAGGCAAAGTTTGCTACCAGGAGCACCTACTTCCAGGTTAGCGGAGCTCATTACCCGAAGCGTTTGTAAGGAGGACGGTACGTAACCCAAGGTTCCATTGTAAAGGTAAAGTTTACTTTTACTTATATAAAGTAAGCTTTATATAAACTTTACCTTTATATAAATCTGTCTATATCTGTATCTATATATAATTGTGCACAAATGTGGACTCTGTCTCCTAGGGGTGCTCACTATTACTTTTGCATAATTTAGAATGCTTGTGCACAGTCAGCAATATGTGCCTGCAACCTCTGGACCATTACTCATCTTCTCCAAGAAAGGAATACCCACATGCATTAATCATGTTAATTTATAGCCAAGCCTAGTTTGAGATGAGTAAATGAGGCCAAAGATCAACTTTAAGAAGAATGTAACCTTACCAAGTAATTATTAAATATTGATGGTTATTCATTTCATGACACAATGACCTGTAGGTTAAAAAATAGCTTTATTTTTTTATTTTTTTTTGGAATAAACAAGAGTTTCCAGTAAATGGAAAACAAACTGGTGTCCTAACAGAGTTCATAAACAACACTGATAACAGCAGAGATACAACCGACAAATATAGACCAAGAAGGCATACTGTCTAAATACAGCAGTGCTTTAAAGTTTTCATTTTCAATATAGTTAATACTGTACAATTAATAATTATTATAAAATCTTTGTCATTGAATATTACAATATTGCTCCAGTGTGCATCCCTAGCTGGAAGGGGAAATTGTGTGTGGAAATAGGTGCTGTGTATGCTCCCTTTAAAATTTATTTTTTTAAAATCTGAAATCCATTTGAATGTGGGATTGGACTCACTCCCATCTCCACCAACAGTGCAACCCCACACATTCAGGAAGCAAGCTGCACTGAGTTCAGTGGAACTTACTCCCATGTAAATGTGGATAGGTTGGCAGCCTAAGAAGCTGATTGGCAGGTTTTCATGGAACACTCTTGGTTGTTCCCATGTGTCCTCTGTTAGATTGCATGCAAGATTTACAAGATAACATTTCTATTTATTTCAGCATTGGCATGAATTGCCCCACCAGAAAGTTGCACAGTATAACAAATAAACCATTAAAACATGGGAAAATTATTAAAATCTCAATACTGAACACTGAGATTCCAAAAGGACAAAGACACATCAGTGACTGCCAGTCAGCTAGACATCTGAAACAAATGAGGCCATGCTACTGTTGTACTGTGGCTGCAAAGCATGATGCTCCAAATTTAGACCATAAGTAAATGGATGCTTCATCATAATGTATAACTAGCCAATATTCTTACCAATTATTGCACAAACCCATACATCCTTAAACAAACCCAACTGTACATAGTTATTCTTATTTATAGAATTTTCTTTTCATGTCCTGATCCTTTTGCAAGGCACTGTGTTGTTTTCAGCATAAAATCCATTTTTTTGTCTGCAGGCACTTCCATTGATATGGCTTATGCTTTCGTTAATGCATTCCAGCTGGGAGCTCCCATCTGTGGGCATCTAAAACAAATGCACAATTTGATTGAATATGCAGATATTGGCATCAGCAGATATTTGATGTCATGGGAACTGCCAGAACCACATATTTTACAAGCCTGTGGTTCTAGGTTATTGGTATTCATTGGTGCAAAATGTAGAAGGGCTTGCTGGATTCGGCTAATTAATGGCCCATCTAGCACACTGTTCTCACGGTGGCTAACCAGATGCCTGTGGAAAAGCTGAGGCCAGGACCCAAGCGCATCTGAGATGTTTACAATCAAATTTTAGACATTGCATGAGACAGAAGAGAGGCAAGTGTAGGACATCAGCAGAGAGATAAAGGATGCAAAGCCAAGGATAAGAACAGAATGATGTGAGCAAATGCAGCTGCATGCACATAATTTAGGCATTATGTCAGTTATGACTATGGGTTATGCCAATGGTTTATGGAATAGGTGAGTTTTGAGCTGCTTGTATGAGGGTTGGGAGGGGGGAGAGCATGGCATGACATAAAGTGTACTGAGAGAAAGCCCTAAACATGAGGTACGTGGGTGAAGTTTTATAAGACAGGAAAGTCTTCAGACAGCTCATAGGAACTTAGGAAGCTGTCTTATATTGAGCCAGGACAATGGTCCATCTAGAATACTTTTGACTATATTTATTGGCAGTGTCATTATGGGGTTTCCAACTTACTTTTCTTTTACTCTGTACACTTGTTGGTAATTCATCTCTGTTCCGGTTTATTGTTGAATCTTCTAAATCTGGGAGAAGAGGAGGAAGGAGTAGGTTTTCCATCATTAGGTACAGAAGTCGCAAAATGTAAAGAAAAAGTTCGTGTGGTTTCAGTGGCGTAGCGTGGGTTGTCAGGGCAAGGCAAGTAATTTGCGTCCCCTAACCCATGGATTTGCGCCCCCTAACCTGTGGATTTGCCCTAACCCCAGATGTTGCGCCCGGTGCGGCCGGCCCCCCTGCACCCCCCACGCTACGCCACTGTGTGGTTTTAAATACTAGCTTATTTTCTTGTAGAACTAGATATATTTCTTTAGAATTCACTTAAGATACATTTCAGCAACAAGCAACCTATCCCCAACTTTACCACTATGAGTTCACCTGGGAGCTGAAATTATCCTGGCTAAGTCAGTCCAGGTTCTGCAGTCTACATAATCTAATGTTGCATCTCCAACAATGATCAGACACCTCTGCAATGGGTCACAAGCTTATGCTGGCCACTTGTTCTTATCTGATTTTGGCATCTGGAGTTGCAAAGTCTTTCCTATATCTTTAAATGTGTCAAGACACTAAGAAAGGCTACAGCCACTGGACCCCTTTCTCCCTCCTTCCCCAGTTCTCTGCCACTCTTAACTACCTCTGTTACCTATAGAACAAAATTGGAGGCCATAGATGCAAAGGAATCGGTAGGCATGCAAGAATGCTTACCTGTGAGGATCTCATCAATCTGATCAACTACAAACTTTGCATCTTCCATAGTGAAGCACATGGGTGGCTTAAATTTCAAGATGTTTCGATAAGGTCCATCAGCACTCAGAAGAATCCTCTGTTCTTTCAGCCTGATTAGAAGGGAACACAGATTTAATTTGGAATGCAAACTCCAAAATGCATTTAGGTATGTGAAATTATAACACAGTCAGTCCCTTTAAAGCTGTGTTTCATGATTCTGGGTAAATCATGAGGGCATCTTCAGTTGCTCAGCCCTGACCTGACTATGAATTTCAGCTCCTTCAGTTTGAATGTCTAGCCTGGAAGTTGTAAAGTGAAAACTGATGAAAGGAACATCTAAAGCAAGCCAGTATATATTTACTTGTAGATAATATGCTGGGCCTCAGCAGTGGCAGGCGTTCTCTTTTGTCGATCCTTCACAAGATCCACTCCAACAAACAAACCAACACCTCTGAAAAATATAATGAAAAGGGAGGGAATAAGAGGTGCAGCAATCAAATCTCAGTGTTGCACAACTCCAAATAGTTTTACAATGTAGTGTGTTAGGTCTCCTGTACAAAACAGTTATCTGATCTGTTATTCAGTAGTTGTCAGTGGTGGGGGTGGGGTGGGTATGATTGGACCCACCACTGGAATGCGTCTCCTGGGTCTTCAGAGGGCAATGCAGTCCTTGGATTGAAGAAGCCACCCCTAGTTATACATTCTTCCGCATCTAAAAACATTTTAATGTTTACCCTGTTATGCCTACCTGACATCTCCCACCAGTGGATGCTTTTCTTTTTGTTCCTTCAGTAGTCCAGTGAGATAGTTTCCAACACGTGTGGCATTCCCTTGGAGATCTTCTTTTTCTATCACGTCCAAAACAGCCAGTCCAATTGCACAGGACACTGGGTTGCCCCCAAACTGAGGGAGGGGAAATGACCAAGAAGAAACAGGTTATTGCTGCCTCAATTATTTCTTCATCCAAAGATTTTGATGAATGTTTTGAGCAAGACGGGGCTTGGCATCAGATTATTTTCTTAGGCAAACAAGAAATATTGGGTGCAAATTCCCTTCTATCTTTTTAACTTGCACCTTATGTGGTGCTACGGAGTGTCATATTTCTTCTTCGCAGTTTCTATTTTGAAAAGTTTGAAGGGGATAAAACACCACAGGGTTTGTACTGCTTTCCTACATAGAGTGAAGCTTTGCTATAACTTAGGCTCCTGCTCCACTTTTAAATAAATAAAACAGTAAGCACCATGTACTGGTTTTACATATACACACAAGAGACCATGTGCTCAATATTATTTGCATGACGAAGCTGTACATTGTCAATCAAAGTCTCATTTAGGCATTAAGAAGCTCAACCTGAGCGTCTGTTGAGTACGAGACTCAATTGGTGCTTGCATGATATTGCAATGTGTGGCCAAACCTTACTAGGCTGAATATTTCCTATCACCTTGTGCTTAATGGTGAATTGAGAACACAACCGTCCTCCCCACCCTCCTGGTGTGCCACCAGTGTCTTCAAAAGATAATAATACTTCATGCCTATGCAGCAGTGCTGTGTGGAGATGAGATGGGGTTGGGGCAGCAATGAGGGCAGAGGAACTCTGGGTTGGCAGTGCTGGCCTACACAGTAACATTCTGTCACTGCAGCTCCCCCACCCCCTGGGCCACTGCTGCACCTATGGGCATAGAATCCAAAGGACATTGGCCCAGATTGCATGAAGTTCTGCCAAATGGATTGAGAAGGCAGGTGCTATTTCACTTCATACCATACATAAGAGATGGATCAGGGCCAGATGTTGCCTGATGCTGTTGTCTAAACTGGGTGAACTGGCTTCACTGAAAAGCATTATTTGAGTCATTACTGGGTGCTCTGAACATTCTTTCTGTAACAATCGATGATGGTGCAATTATGCATGCCAGGCCCCTATAACAGATGTGGCCCTCCTAATATTGCTGAACTACAAGTCCCATCATCCCTGGTCACTGGCCAAACTTACCAGGGCTAATGATCATTCAGCAACATCTGGAGAGCCAAAGTTTCCTCATACCCAATTTATAACTATAAATGATAATATTAGAAGAGAAGCTCACCGTATTGAAGTACTCCAGTCCAGAGGCACCAAAAGCTTCTGCAATCTCTCTGGTGGTAACTACACAAGACATGGGATGGCCATTGCCAATTGGCTTCCCCATAGTGACAATGTCAGGCACAAAGTCTTTGCCTTGTAGCTGGAATCCCCAGAATTTTTTTCCAACTCGACCAAAACCGACCTGGACTTCATCAGCTATGAAAACTCCACCCGCTTTGCGGACAGCGCTGAAAATAAAAAGGGAACAGATGTCTCACTGTGATGTGTCACTGTCATGTAGGAGCGTTTACATGAAGACTTCAATTATGGTCCTGCAAGAGGCATTTACAGCTGAGAATTCAGAAAAGTGCTTATCAGGCCATATGCTCTTTATAGCATGGCCAGAAGATGGATATAAAGTTGACCTGAGTTCACTCTGTCCAGTCACAGAAGGATATGTGTAGTCTAGAAATATTGGATAAAAAGATCTGATACACACAATGTGCAGGGCCTCCTGTATTCTCAAGTTCTAGGAATGATGTACCATGTGATTTTTCTTAATGTGCAGATCACCCCAGAGCTACTGTGCAATAAGAAGTCATGCTGTTCATTGCAACTAGCCCAGAATCCTGTTCTCTCAGTGGGTCAACCAGTTCCCTATGGGAATCCCATAAGCAGACTGTGATAACACATTAACTGGCTAGTAGCCATGAATAACCTTATCCTGTCTAGTCCTCTTTTAAAGCCATCCAATTTGTGTGCCATCACTAAATCTTGAGCAATACTTATATTCCTTATGTACCATCCCACCAACTTATTGGCCTTGGATTGAATTGCCAAAAGCTACTTTGAGAAAGGCATCTCTTGTTACTGGACAATATTTGTTTACAGAAATAAAAAATAATAATCGTAGCAGTTTTAAATTTCAAGGAACAAAGATTAAAGCTACACAAAGAACCAAATAAGTAGACTCTTCCTGTGATTTTTAGTAAGTAGCCTGCTGTAAGTAACCCATCCCAAGCACTATACATACTCTGCCACTTTCTGGAAATAGCCTGCAGGTGGAATTACTTGGCCTCCGCAACTCTGCATGGACTCAGCAATAAAGGCTGCAATCTAAGTAAGAGAAGATGTTATAAGAAAAGCATTCCTCTGCTTACTCATTTGCAAATGAAACAACAGCTACAGGCACGAACCCTATGAAAACAGGCGAGATAAATGAATATGCAGTTTGGATAGCTATGTTGCATCTTGAACAGCTGTGAGCAACAGTAACGACAACAAAAATGGCAGAGGTGCCCAATTTTTCAATGCCAGGGCAAGCATCCAGCATAATTCTACAGCTCATGATTGACCCAATGCTCAAAGTCTTGGATTTACTGTGCACATTTATTTAAAAACTCATTTAGTCGCCCTACTCTTGCAGAATACAAATGTGATACTGGAAGTATCTGATGGGTTCACTGTTCTGATGAGTTATTTATTATCTATTTATTATTAATGATTGTCCACATTTCAATAATTTAATTACTAAAGGTGCTTTATAGTCTTTATATCAGCTTCACCCTGTGAACTCGTGAACCTCCACCAGCTTCATTCACATGGCATTCTGTGATAGCCGATTTAACCCCTTTCCTGTGGCTCAAAATGGGAAACAAACAAATGCATTGAAGATGTGCAGAGCTGTATTTTGGGCACCCCTGCTTCAGAAGAAGAAGGAGGAGGAAAACGTATGCAGAGCAAATCAGGATGAGGCATTTGACAAAAACACAGAGCCTACAGCTGAAGTGATTCCAGTAGCTAGGAATGAAAACAAACAAACCAAAAAAGGTTATTTGGGATCAGGAATCAACATCAGCAGATCAGATAGACTGGAACTGGAAGCTTACATTTTCTGCATTCAGCATTATGCCTTTGTTCTCCCCCAAGTCTGCCTGGAGGGTAAGCCCAAATCTGCTATTTAACTGACTGCCTCCCTCACTCTTGCACAACCCTCCCCGAGTATCGGCCAGAGGTCCATGCAAGCTTGAGCAGTGCCGTCTTCCTGGAAAGAAGGTCGTGTGGTAACGTGTAAAGAAGCGTACACTATATTCGAAGAGGTATACTACAGCCAGACAGTAGGAGGCTCCCCATAGTCTGTGAAACTTTATCAACTGCTCCTGGCAGAGGTCTACGGCACCAGAACCTATGAGGAAGATAATGCGAGGGGGAAGGGAGGAAACAGACAAAGGGGGGGAAATAGAAACTATCCGTTAGTTTCTTTGTTTAAAATCTCAATAAGGAATTAAAGACAGATGGGTGGGCTCCTCTGGACTTTAAGGTGTGGGGAAATAGTGGCTCCAATCACTACCGGTGGGCATTTTAGGTTGTTTTTATTCTTGTATTGTATTGTTTGCTTTTGCAAGTTCCTTCGAGTTCACCTTTCTGGAAAAGAAGTGACTAATAATAACAAGCCTCCATGCCAGTTCTAGAAATATCTCTCCACACCAAAGTCAGCAAGTTCCTATATCATTACTCGTGTTAAGATGCTATGTTTTAAATCAACAGCTTACTTTGCCATTTTGTCAACTGCTTTGAGTAATTTTTGTTCACATGAGCTAGCATTTAAATTCATGTCTCTGGATCCTCAAAGTGCAACATTCCACTGGATCCTACTGATTTTCTTCTCTTTGCACTGGGACACCCCCGTGAGAAATTCTGAGACGCTGCTGGGCTTTTATATATTTCTTCTTGTTAATCTGTTTGGTAGTTTGTATGATTTTATGTGGTTGCAAAAATAAATAAATGTAACCCCTTTTAGGCATGAGGGCTCAAACTGGGTGGGGATTTTAGGAACAGAGGCTGTACACTGCAGTGCATTATATCCTGTGCCTGTTATCTGTTGCTACATACAGCCCCATAAATTTTAGCAAAAGTTCTATGTGCAGTTTCAGAGCACAATCAAAATAGCACTTTATGCTTTAGGCCTGCTCTTACATGTGAAATGGAGGTTTAGATTTATTTATTCCTTTCTTCTTCTTTACTCAATCCTTACCCATTATTTTCTTGTGAGAGTTTTGAATGCAAGTTAGGGGGGGGGGGTAGAAGGCACCTTAAAATCCAGGAATCCAGTAAAAACAAAAGAAATTCCAGCTATATAAAGCAGTCAAGTTCACCTAATTGAGCATTTTTCAGGACACAATCTGAGCAGGCTTTCATGTCAGGGAGTTGGACTAGATGATCCTCAGGGTCCCTTCCAACTCTACAATTCTATGATTCTATGTTCCTCCGTTGTTCACATACCTTGCGGCCGTTCTTCTGAGCCTCTTCAATTATCTTTTTCACATCATCGGCATAAGCGCTTCCTGGGTCTGGATGGTCCTCTCTATATTTTCCTCTGTATATATCTGGTGAAGGAGCCTAAAGAGTGGCAAAAGAAGATTTGAAATCTTTGAATGCACTGTCCTTGGCTCCTCCTCCGACAGGAACAAAACTGGCGTTAAAAACCCTATTTGGTGTGCACCTCATGTAGGACATCTTCTAAATCTTCCCACAGCAGGTTAATAAGAAACCATGCATCAGAGGCACAAGAGGACCTTAACATTTCCAGTATTTTAATGTATAGGTCCACAGGTTTTCCGTATCCCTGGCTTTCCAGGAAGTGGGACAGAAGTCAAAAACGACAAAGAACTGAGACCATAATAACATACACTGACTCATATCTAGTTCAATATCTGTTCTCAACAACCCCCTATTAGATGCTTGGAAGAGCAATCTTCTGCTGCTTGTCCCCATGATCTAAAAGGGTGCCGGGCTGAGGGGGAGCACAAAATAATTTAAAAACTTATATTTATATGGATAAATAAGGGTAAACTGCACCAAAAAGAATTATTGTGAAAATAAGGGGGAAGGGGCACAAAAAATGGTCCTCACTCAGGGAGCTATATTACTAAAGTCTGCCCCTGTTGTCCATCAGCCTAATTGACATCAGTCTGAAGGGGCTCCAAAGTGTGCAGGGATCTGTGTGTGCAGGGGTCCGTTCAAGCTTATCATGGGGGGAGGGTGCATTGGCATCTAGAAGGCAGGATGTTTCTGATTTCCAGATCTTGGGGCCTGCTCATGCTGAACCTTGCAAGAGAGCTATGCTTACTAGCCACTGTCAGATTTATTGTCCATGAATTCCTCATGATAATTAGGAGCCACTTCTTAAGAGATTCTTGGATACAGAAACCTACGGGGTTTTTTTTTTTTTAAAGCATGCTTTTTTCTACTGTAGGTTAGCATGCATTTTCTTTTTAATATACACAAGCAGGTATCTTGCATTTTTCAGGACAAAATATATCTCTGTCCATATACAATTCATCTTGTAAGAAGCGCCCCGGGCTTCTTACATTGATTAGGCCAACCTAAATATCACTAAATAGTATCTATTGATTTTTGTGGAGGTATTGCTGTGCAGTTTAGCTTTGCATTTCATTTGTATCTGCAATGAATAGAAATATGCTAAGGGCAGTAAGAATCCAGCATAATAATTACTTACCACATGTACAAATTCCTTTTTGGCCTCTTTCCCCAGTTGATTAAATTTATATGGACTGATGTCAATCAGCGATGTAACATGGCCATGATAAGCACTGAAATAGAAGATGAATGCAAAGTGACCCCAGGGTGTGAAAGAGTTCAACAGAAGCAGACTCTGTTACAGGCTAGTTTTGCACATGTTTTACATAAGTTTTGCACCTAAACTGACAAAGAATCTCAGTTTAACCTTAGTTTTCTATATGTGGTGCCACTACAGCAACATATTCAATGTCGTTGTTCACAATTTTCATTGTTTTTAATATTTATTATTATTGAACTACAAATGCAAATATTCTCTAATTAATAGGAATTAGTAGACTGTTTCCCTCTATGACATACAACTATGCAGAGGCAACCCCTTCCTCACAGAAACGGATGAGTCAAAACAGAGGTTTGAGTTAAAATGAAGAAGTCTTGATGAAGTTAATGGATACATTTATTTACAGATCACTGTGTGCAGATCAGTGACCTCATTTGAGGTGAATGAGAAACTAACTGTGATCAGGGAAGCTCCATGCATGCAGAATCTTCTTGTATGGGGCTCTGGGTGCTTGGCTACAGACTGAACAGTCATTACAGTAGCACATGACCCATCTGCATCATGTTGCAACGAACTGATCTCATCCATACCATCAGCATACTTACTGGTCAAGTGTAATCACGTCTTGGTGGCCCCTGTATTGGCGGGCCAGGCGCAAAGCGAGATCATTTGCTTCAGATCTGCAGGACAAAATTAGAAGGCAATGAAAGCAGCTATTGTAACAGGAGAGCCACATAATAAACTTTTTTAAGCCAAAGATAAAATAACTCCAGACAGGCATATACCAAACTCTAATCCCCTAGAAATGATTAATAGCACACCTATTGGATTCAGAGTGAAAATGTTGAATGAGGGCAGGATTCTCTCTGGGTTGGAAAGCCAAAGAGTTGCTTCACATGGACCCACACATGGAAATAAAATCGTAGAGTTGAAAGGGACCTACAAGGGTAATCTAGTCCAACCCCCTGCAATGCAGGAATCTCAACTAAAGCATCCCATAGCGATCACATCTAAACCTAGGTGAATTCTGCACATTTGTTCATGTCTTGATTATCATAAAATCTACAGCTGGACACAAAATATGAACTTGTGAATAGCTCAGCTTTGGTTTACATTGCTAATCTTGAGGGCTGCCTAGGAAAATGAGGGGACATACAGGTTGTGGACATGATCTGGTGCTGCCTGTATGTGAAGCCTTCCCATTCTATGAAGAGATGTGGCCCACTGTGTACACAGAACATCACTTGCTGAGGAGCCCCTGTGGGCATGGAGCTCACTGAATGCATTGGAGCTGATGGGAGGAATTCCTTGGACTGATCCAAAGAGGCCTGGGAGAGGGAGAGACAGTTCCCCATTGCACAATCTGGTTGTTTTGCATTTGGAGAAACCCTCCCGCTGCAATCTGTTGTTTCCTTTGCAGCAAGCTTCTTTCTGTGTTTTGTATCTGGTAAAACTGATTGTATCTAGTGAAACCTTCTTCTGCAGAGATTTCATTTGCAGAGTCATAACCCTTATCTGCTGAAAGTACAGAGTCTCAGACTAGGATTAGGAAAACCCAGGTTCAACTCAACCATGAAGCTTTCCCCCCACTGTCTCTCAGCCTACCCCACAGGGTTGTTGCAAGAGTAAAATAGGAACAAGGGAAACATAATAATAATAATAATAATAATAATAATAATAATAATAATAATAATAATTTTATTTATACCCCGCCCTTCCTGGTTCAAAAACTGGGCTCAGGGTGGCTAACAACAAATTAAAAACAATTGTAAAAGCAGCATAAAATACAGTATAAAACATGAATAACAATAAAATAAAATTCAGAAATCACTTTAGGGGAAATAAGCATTAGATAATCCCCAGGGCTAGCTGGCTGAATTGGTCATACTTGGGCCAGTGAGGAGGCCAGGGGAGAATTAGCTGTGGGGTCTCAGAGCAGGTGATCTTCATAAAAGGGGAGGGGAAGGGAAGAAGGGAAATAAAAGACCAGGCTGAATTCAAATTAAAGGCCAGGTAGAATAGCTCTGTCTTACAGGCCCGACGGAAGGAGGTTAAATCATGTAGGGCCCTAGTCTCACGGGACAGAGCATTTCACCAGGTCGGAGCCATCACTGAAAAGGCCCTGGCCCTGGTGGAGGATAGTCTGACTTCCTTAGGGCCCGGGACCTCTAAACTATGGTTATTCATGGACCTTAAGGTCCTCTGCAGGGCATACCAGGAGAGGCGGTCCCGCAAATAAACATGCATGCATAGATGAGATAGAAATGTAAAAGATAAACAAATACTATGACCATATGAATTTTTGCCCACATGAAAACCTGGGCACAACCTTAGAAAGCCCTATATTTGTTAACTCTGTTCTCTCATCATCTCCCAAAGCTGTTAAAATGTAGAAGTTAATTTATACAAGTTTCCAAAAGATAATAGCAATGAAAAGTCCTTTAGGCATACCCAGAGTTCACGAAGTAGCAAACAGAGAGAGGCTCTGGGAGGGTCGCAGTGAGACGCTTTGCATACTGGACCAGATTGTCGTGCAGGAAGCGAGAATTGGTGTTGAGTAACTCCATCTGTTTCACTGCAGCCTTGACCACATCTGGATGGCTGTGTCCAACTGGAAAGGACCAAGCGAAGAGAAGTCAATGAACCCATTTGAGAGTACTTGAAAAAAGACCCCAAATCTACCTAAAATGAATGGGAGCACTTTAAAAGCTGTCAACATATATTACGCCATATTTCTTACCATGTGCTACGTTGTTAATGCAGTCCAGGTATTTTTCTCCATTCTCATCAAACATATACTGCCCACGGGCACACACAATCTTAATGGGGTCCTTAGCAAAGAAGACCTTGCATGAGGGCCTGAAAAGCACAAAAGCATTGCTTTAGTTTAGGTCTGCTGAAAAGCTCCTTCTCCAGACCACTGCATACACTTGTACAAACACGTAAATGCAGCAAATTCATTATGGTCTATCAGGAGTCCTCAAGCATTGTCCTGGAAAGACTCAGTCAGTGAGGGGAAAATAGTAAATTATGTCTTTCCAAGTGTAAATATGGCTGGCTTCATAGAACACTCATCATAGTACAGTGGTACCTCGGGTACTTAATTCATTCCGGAGGTCCGTTCTTAACCTGAAACTGTTCTTAACCTGAAGCACCACTTTAGCTAATGGGGCCTCCTCCTGCTGCTGCTGACACGCCACCAGAGCACAATTTCTGTTCTCATCCTGAAGCAAAGTTCTTAACCCGAGGTACTATTTCTGGGTTGGCGGAGTCTGTAACCTGAAGCGAATGTAACCTGAGTGTATGTAACCTGAGGTACCACTGTACAGGAATTGCCTTAGGGAAAATTTGGTATCTCTTCCCTTCTGTGAAAAGGACAATAACTTAAATGTGATATATTGCTCAACACACCAAGCCAATCTCCAAATAACAGAGTTATTTTGGACATGCACAGGGTTTTGTTCCCTCACCACAATCAGCATAGACTGGGGAAATTGGGAACCATTCATTAAGAAAGGATCAAACCCGCCACACAAAAAAAGCTCCATCCATTTCCTCTTCCACACTCTCCATTGGGTGCATACAGCTGCTTCCATGAGAGAGCTGTCTGCACAGCAGGGCTGCTAATGGGGAAGGGAGGGGTTCCCAGTGTGTCTGTAGGGACTCCCGTGCATTAAGCAGTGTGCATGAGAAGGGGAGAACAATGCAACCTGGAGTCTCTTCCTAGGTTTTTTAATGAACCACAAGACGACAGCCCCAAAGAATTGAGCCCTAACCTTTTGTTTGTTTTGGCTGGCCTTTTGTATCTTTAGCTGGTTCCCAGCTTCTACTGTATGCCAATGGAGCCAAAATAGCTTATTATTGTATTAAGGATGAAATAATAATCCAAGGGAGACAACAACTCTCAGAGTTTGCACAGAACTTTTCGCCTCTCTGGCGGGCAGAATTCCAGGCTTGGCTTTGCAAAACGCCCAGGATCCACTTGGGTTATGCAAGGACTGTGAGTACAGTGTATCAACTGGTTACACAATCTTGCATGCTTGTTTAATGCCGCTGACATCACATGCACCTCTGTGCATTTACTGCACTTGTCCAAGTTTCCTTTGGAAGGTCAAACACTGATCCACCTTCCTGGCTGTTAATCTGACTATTTATACAGGGGTTAGATAAGGGCACAGATGTCCTATGCACAGAGGCAAAGGAGATTTTTTTGGACTGCCAGATGGGGTTTTGTACAGTATTCAAGCATTACACCCCAGAGTATCACACCCCAGAGAAGTGAATAATTTTCATTATCAGCAGGGCTTCAGCTGATTGCATGGCAAAGAGAGAGAGAGAGGGAAGGGCATTTCTAAGTGTCACTGAAAGTGTAGCATTTCCCCATTTTTGTTTCTAAGAAATATTTTTTTAAAAAAAACTTTTGGATTAAAAAAAAAAGCCTTCCTAGAAAGTGCTAAAAACTTTTTAAAGTGTTCTTTTTTTAAGGGGGGGAAAAGAAATTAGGTAAGCAATACGACCCACCAAAAGTTAAGTGCTTTAAAAGACTTAAATTCTATGCAAACTGTGGGTCCGAACATCTGCAAAAATGCAGATTTGCACTGAAATCTCCAAACAGGCAGGCTGCAACTTCCATGGATTTCAAGAGGAGATTTTAAAGCATGTGCTTGACTTTCCCATTGAAAGTGTTGCTTTTAAATCCTTTCTATTTATGAAAAAGAAAATATTCGTGATAGTTCAAATGATCAAATACGGATCCTTTCAGAAAATGTGACAATTTAGGGCTATGAAATACGTTAGTGCAAGATAATGTCAGAGGCTTTTTAATAAAGGGAAAGTGGCAGTTCTGCGGATAGCAGGGACAGGGCAAAGAAGGTTTTGGTAGGTTGACTTCCACTCCCTTTCGATTTGGTTCAGAGTTTGACCTGGCCAGGATGAGTGTAGACCCACCACCTTGATTCTGCACCCCACTCCCAACCGCAGAGAGATCCCGGCCACCATCTCCGCTAGAGAGATCTTTTGCAGGTCGCCTTTACCGCGCAGGTAGAGGACCTGCCGGGGTCTGTTAGCTGAGTTCTACGGATGAGTGGCAGTATACAAATTTAATAATAAATAACAATCGTGCCGGAAGAAGAATGAGAGCGATTGCAGAATGTGGGGTGGAAAGTTGGGAAGTTTTGCATGCCTGCGCCCTCCGCCCCTCTCGGCTCCCCTGGCTTTGCCCCCTGGCTTACCCGATGTGCTTCTTCCGCAGCTCCAGCGTCTCTGCCTTGCTGTACATCTCCATCGTGCCTGGTTTCGCGCGCCCGCTCTCTCTCTCTGCAGCCCCGGGGATCTCGCCCTGCGCTGCTCCCGGGCAGCCGCCTTCGCCTTTTATCCCATGCCCGGCAGGGGCCGCCGCGTCCTTCGCCCAGGCCCCGCCTCCTGCGCGCCGCCCATCTCCGCGCCACCCGCCAAAAGTGCCAAGGCTGGCTTCCAGCCACCTCTTCTTCTTTACCCGCACGAGGTAGTCCTCAAACCACCCCACTCCGTCGCCACACCCCGCTTTCAACCCGGCTGGTCTTCCCACCACCGTCTCTCCACTGGAACATTTCCCTGGGGTTAGCTCCGTTCAGTCCGTTGCAGCAAAGAGCAAGCAGGGAATAAATAAATAAATAAGGTCGTTATTCTTGACTGTTTGGAAGCCGCTTTGAGATTCATTGCAGTGCAAAGCGGCACAGCAATATAATCCAAATCAACCAATAAGATAGCTCAGTGGCAGGGCCGGAATTAGGTTTGATAAGGCCCTAAGCTGCTGAAGATAATGGGGCCCTTTATAGGTCCAGCTGTCCTTTGTCAACAACAAATTGTCACAGTTTTTTGTATTGAATATATTCTATATGGTAATTTATGGACCTAAAGGTAAAGGGACCCCTGACCATTAGGTCCAGTCATGGCCAACTCGGGGGTTGTGGTGCTCATCTTCCGGCGTACAGCTTCCGGGTCATGTGGCCAGCATGACTAAGCCGCTTCTGGCGAACCAGAGCAGTGCATGGAAACACCGTTTACCTTCCCGCCGGAGCGGTACCTATTTATCTACTTGCACTTCAATGTGCTTTCAAACTGCTAGGTTGGCAGGAGCAGAGACGGAGCAACGGGAGCTCACCCCGTCACGGGGATTCGAAATGCCAACCTTCTGCAATTCTGGCTGGGATGCTGATGGGACCTGGAAGGCAGCACAATGTGGAGGGGCCACAAATGCCCCGTCTCTGCATCCTTTGGATCCTTCGTGATCCAAAGGAAAGCAGAGCAGTGTGTTTGGCACTAGCTTGGCAGCAGGAGTTGCTGGGAGGGGGTGTACAAGGCGCCATCCAACTTCACTTCTTCGTATTTGTTTAGTTTACCCCTTAGCTTTTTCTTCCTCCAAAGATATCCCACATGGCAGCACAGGTTTAGGATCAGAGTTTCCCTTTGCATTCACTAGGAAAGGCATTGTCCAGAAGAGGGCTTTGTTTGTGGCAGCCCTCCTTACAGGAGCATCTTCACTGGACAACTTCCAGATTATGCTGAAGATACATCTCTTTGCCCTGGCCTTGGACAGCTAAGGTCCATCTTTATGGGACTCCACCTGTTCTGTTTTGCTTAATCTATATATTGTGCTACAAGATGCACTTGTTTGTACACAGACAGTTCTACTTCTTTTACTTGTTCTTGATTGCACGGTTAGAATCATAGAATCATAGAGTTGGAATAGACCACAAGGGCCATCGAGTCCAACCCCCTGCCAAGCAGGAAACACCATCAGAGCACTCCTGACATATGGTTGTCAAGCCTCTGCTTAAAGACCTCCAAAGAAGGAGACTCCACCACACTCCTTGGCAGCAAATTCCACTGTCAAACAGCTCTTACTGTCAGGAAGTTCTTCCTAATGTTTAGGTGGAATCTTCTTTCTTGTAGTTTGGATCCATTGCTCCGTGTCCGCTTCTCTGGAGCAGCAGAAAACAACCTTTCTCCCTCCTCTATGTGACATCCTTTTATATATTTGAACATGGCTATCATATCACCCCTTAACCTCCTCTTCTCCAGGCTAAACATGCCCAGCTCCCTTAGCCGTTCCTCATAAGGCATCGTTTCCAGGCCTTTGACCATTTTGGTTGCCCTCCTCTGGACACGTTCCAGTTTGTCAGTGTCCTTCTTGAACTGTGGTGCCCAGAACTGGACACAGTACTCCAGGTGAGGTCTGACCAGAGCAGAATACAGTGGCACTATTACTTCCCTTGATCTAGATGCTATACTTCTATTGATGCAGCCCAGAATTGCATTGGCTTTTTTAGTTGCCGCGTCACACTGTTGGCTCATGTCAAGTTTGTGGTCAACCAAGGCTCCTAGATCCTTTTTACATGTACTGCTCTCAAGCCAGGTGTCACCCATCTTGTTGCACCCATCGGTTGCATTGCTGTAACTCACCCTGGGAAGAAAACCCAAAAAGGAACAAAAAGTTTCAGAGACAGACTCCCCTGCAGGGCTGTTGAACTGGAATTGAGATGCAAATTTAATGCCATCAGAATTGGGCGGAGTAGAGCCTCTCCAAGTGGCCAGCTTGATATGGAAGATAAATGGTCCTCTTCAAATGGGAGTGGATCTTGCTTTTCTTTGTGCCCACAGTGCAATGGGGCACACCTGTTCTCTTGCATCTGTTGAATAACCTCTCTTCCCTTTCGGCCTGTAGCATCATGCATGGATATGCCAACTGAGAAGAACATTTCATGTGTCTAACGAAGTGCACTCCAACTCACCAAAACAAACCAATCAACCTTAACAACGTCAAGTTAAGCCTCAGGGGCTACCAGGTCCCTTGTTGTTCTTGCTGGAACATGCTAACACAGCCTTAGTAATCCTAATACAAACACAGTGAAGTAAGCTGCTAATGTTATTATCCCCTTATTTCAGGAGGAAAGGCTGAAGGCAGGAAAATACTGGCGAGATCCAACTAGCTCGCATTCTTTGTTTATCACCACACCCTTCCCTCTGTTGGTGTGAATAGGTAGTTATGGAAGATGTAATCAGCATTATGGCAGGTGGTGTATACCTCCTAATGCCATTAGCATACAAAATAGATGCAGAAACTGGTTGATAAGTTTGGTGGGATTGTCAAATTTTGGCAAAATCTCATTCACAAGTTCAAGGTTGGCACCTTGGTTAGAAAGTGATCTCATCAAAATGCTGTAAGAACATAAGAGCCCTCAGGCAGGACGTGAAAGCAATGACTCTCCTGTTCTCACACTCTAGAAGCTGATATATCGCCTCTTAGTCTGGAGGAGGCATATGGTTCTCATGGTTGGCATGGATAGTGTTCCCCTCTGTGAAGAGCTAACCTGTTTTGCAGCGTTACCTTTACCACAAGGAAACCCTAGCCACCTTTTCGAGATGGCAACACCCTTAGTATGGCCGGTGAGGCAACTGTAGAGCCAGCAATGGGCACTGTCTGCGCACAATGTGGAGACCAGGATTCTTGTACCAGCGACATTGTGCTGTGGGGGTTAGAGTGCTGCACTAATACCTGGGAGACCAGGGTTCAAATCCTTGCTCAGTCATGAACCCCACTGGGTGGCTTTGGGCCAGTTACTACCTCTTATCCTCTCAGTTGTGAAGATAACAATGGAGAGGGGGGGGGAAAGTGGGATATAAATGTAATAATAAATAAAATTACAAACATCTTGTAGGTGCAGCTTGGGTGAGGTGGCATTCTATTTTAAAGGCCCTGCTCACATTTTCCTGTGGCGACCTCCTCTGACAATCTTTTCCCATTTCTATAAAGTCCAGTAGCCTCTGATGTGCATGTATGATTTCTGCTATCTTGCATGTGGGGTGGGTGGGTTTAGGAAACTATCTTTTACCCGTTTACATTAATGACCATGCCCAACTGAGGTCCATTAATTTCAGTGGGTCTACTTTGAGCAAAAGTTAGTTACGTATAACCCAGTGAGTGGAAATGCCCCTAGCGACAATGATGTGAAAGGAACTATGCAGGGTAGGCCTACTATGGTATTTCAAGTAAGTAAGCCTTCATTGTTAATAAAGTTACTTTGTTTTTAAATTATGCTGCTGGTCACCAGTTTTGGGGAGGTGCTTTGAGGAAGGAAAAGCTGTCTGCCGACAAACATCAGCTCCCTTGGCCAGTAAAGCGAGATGAGCGCCACAACCCCAGAGTTGTTCATGACTGGACTTTACTGTCAGGGGTCCTGTACCTTTCCTTTCCTTTTTTTCTTTTTTGAGGAAGGAAGGGTGATATTTATTTTTAAATTGAATGGGATTTTTGAAAGCAAAGTGAAGCAAATCCTTATGGGGGGGAACAATAAAGTAATCAGCTTCTAACATTGTTGTGTATTTTTAAGCATTAAAAAATTAGGTTGTTTTTTTAAAAAAGCACAATTTATTACACTTTTCTGCCACGATTTAACAGAGTTGCCCGTGGTCTTCTATCCTGGGCAGCAGATTAGGTCCACCCATGGAGTGCAGAATGTTGCTGCACCATGTGAGGGAAGCTTCTGACTTGGTGCCAACCCATAACTGGAAGATTGCCCAGCTTAGATGTACTCAGCTAATTCAGTGGGCCTTACCAGGGAAAGTGCAACATGCTATTATTTATCCATTTATTAAAATATGTACCACTACCCTAGCATTATAGCTCAGTTGCACATTAGAATGTGTTAATGCTCCTGATAAATTACCCTAATTAAACCCCAGCTTATACCCATGCCTTCCAAAAGCCAATTAGAATAATTTCATATTTGAGGGACACGCTAGCCCTCTTAAGGTGTTTTTCTCACCATGGGACCAACACTGTGTGGAGGCTAGCAAGCTTACCCCTGCTCCCTCCATCGCCCTCCGCAAGAGGGGATGCTCACGTACATTTGATCACGTTCTACTCCCTGTACATTTTACAACCCTGGAAAAAGCAAGGTTCTAAAGCAACCAGGTAGCCTACGCAAGTCCAGCCAGCTTCCTAGTATAGATAGTCACCCTCTGATTTGTGCAGGGTAGCAGTGGCATGTACACTTGTCCTCAATTCCTTTCCCATGTAGTGTTAATCGTGGGTAAAGAGTCACCTGAGATGGAATAATACTATTTAATTATTATTATTTTTAAAGTATATTTTTACTAAAGAATTTCAATCAATCCAAATAGTCAATTACATTATTTTTCCCCCTTTTATCCCCCCTCCCCGTTCCTCCCTCTCCCTCCTAAGACTTCCCTCAGCTCCCTTCTCTGATTTGTTTGTGCTTATTATTCTCTTCATGTTAAAAATTGTACATTTCATTACCTTATCTGTCATCTATTCTATTAATAAATTTGTAGATATTTATTCAAAACCTGCCAA